TATACTTCTATTACGAATAAATTTTTATGATAATGAGTAAATTTTTATTGGAATGCTCAGGAAAACTCTACTTATCCTTCAAACCCAGCCCAAAAGCTCTTTTTTACTTGAAATCACACTCCATAACCTAATCTAGGTAGTTTGATATTCCCTCCCTTTATGCTAATATTAAAGGTAGAGCACACACAGTCTGACCCTCACTAACTTAAATAGCGAGAAAGATTTGGGGGAGGTGGGGTGGGGGGTGGAGGTTAACTAAACCTTTTTGAGCTCATTGAAGGCAGAAGGCATAAGATAACTTTTTCATCTTTGCTACCCTGAAATAATATATAACTTAGAGTTTTTAAGCCTGGGAACTATTGACATTTGGGGGCAGGTGAGTACTTTTTCTAGAAGGTTGTCTTGTCCATTGTGGGATATTTAGCAGTATTCCCTTTTCAGGTTTAACAATCAAAAATCTCTCCAAATTTGGCCAAATATTCCCTGGGGGTTAAGATTGCCTCTTGTTGAGAACCACTGATCTAAATCATATGGTGTATGAACTTGATGTCAGGGATTGTCAAGTTTTTTCCTCCACCTTCCATCTTTCACACCATGTAGCTCTAGAAAGGAATTCAACAAATGTATTTGAGTAAGTGATTTAAATAAGTTGCAAATAATACTAAAATCTTTCCTCTGAGCCATTAAAAACAGGGTTTACAAGGATGATATCTATTCATGAGAGAGATGATGTGGTATATTGGCTAATGAGGCAAATTCTGGAGTCAGACTAGGTAGATTCAAATCTGTGGTACATGTGTTTATAGCCCACCTCTCAGCTTCCTAGTTTAGTAACCTTGATCAAGTCATTAAACTTTGCTGTACCTCTCTATCTTCATTATAAAATGATGATACAAATAGTACTTACCTCAGCAAGACTAAGTGAAGATTACATGATAAGCTATTTAAAACACCTGGAGCAATACATGACAAGTGTTGGTTATTATTACATATGTTTATGTGTGTATGTGTCAGTATACTAATATGTCATCTCTATTGTAGAACATGTAAACAGATATAATCATTTTCAAGGCAACATAGGATAATAGGTATAAAGAGGTTCTGATATTTTCTTGCCCCACCCTGTGGATTATTTTGTTTGTATGCCTTGAGTGCTGTGTTTTGCTCTTTGACAATTTCTGCTTTTAGAAGCAGCCTGAGGATAGATTAGGGCTTGGCATTCCTCATGACCAGGAAGCTGCCTACTGAAGTTTCCTGTGGAGATGGACTAGGGTCTGTGATTTTAGCAAACCCAGTTAGATCTTTTGGGCCAGTTTCACATTAAGTTCTGTGTTCACATTCATCTGCTACCCTCAAGTTTCTGTTTAAACATTACATCCTGGTTTTTACCTCTGCTCCATGGAATTAAGGAAGAGTTCTGCATCCAAAATTGCACTAACAAGTTTAAAATGTAGGTAGAAACAGAGCTTATTATTCAACTGTTTATCCATTCATCTGACAGACATTTAATGAGCACTTAATGTACCAAACCTTGTTATGGAAGTTGAGAATTAGCCTGGAACAAAGCATAAAAAAATAACTGCCTTCTCACGACTTACATTATGGTGGCTGGAAGAGCACTTTAGGAGAGGAGAGCAACAGGGTTAGAGGCCATTAGACAGGAACATGCTTAGTGTGTTGGTGAATGACCAAGAAACCACAGTGGTTGGAGCAACACAAGCTTGAGCAAGAGGAAGTACTTGAGGCCAGAGGATTAAAGGGTGGGATGTGGAGGTGTAGGGTCAAAGACTGTACAGGGCCATGGGTCATTCTAAGAAATTTAGCTTTTATTACAAGAGATTTAGGAAATAACTGAAGTATTTTTAGCAGACAATTGATATCGTCTGAAGTCACTTTAACTGAATCATTCAGGCTGCTGTGTTCCAGATAAACTGGGACAAGGATGCTGTGCAAGGGCAGAAGCATGAAGACCAGTCAGGATTCTCCTATAAGATATTAAAGGAAAATAGTGCAATGAGAAAAATGATGTTGGCCTATGCTACATGGATAGCAGTGGTCAAATTCTGTGTGTATTGAAAGTAATGCATTTCAGTTTTACTAACTAATTAGCTAACTGATACAGCCATTGAGAAAGGGGGAAGTCAGGGATGACACCAAGACTTTTGAACTGAGCAACTTTTAACCTGATTTTTGAAGAATGGAGTTACCTGTTCTTAAGTAAGAAAGGGACAGAGTGGAATGTGAGGAGGTCAATTTAGACATATTCACACTTGAAATGCCACTAGAATCTGTAGGCAACTGGATATAGTAGTTTGGAATTCAGGAGAGAGAACCAGATTAGAACTCTCAACTTTGGAGTTTTGAGAGCATATAAATGGCTTAAAGCCATGTACTAAATGATATCACCCACAGGGGAATATAGATATAGGAATAAATCAAATGAATTCTGGACATATTTTGTAGTTAGAGTTAACAGGATTTGCTGGCAATTTAAATGTAGATGTAAAAGATAAGATTCAAGGGTGACTCCAAAGGTTTTAGAGGAAAAAAAAATATAGCTATTGATAGACTGATCCTGGGGCTCTCCAATATTGGAGATAAAGAAGAATCAGCAAACCGAGAAGGAATGGTTAGAAAGAAAATAATCAAACCAGGGAAGTGTGATATCTTAGAAGTCAAGTGTAGACAGTGTTTCAAGGAGCAAGCAATGGTCCTTGAAACCTGTGTAATATGCTACTGGATTAATATGAAAACTGAGAAATGACAATGGGGTTTCACATGATAGAGGTCATGGGCAATCATACTGAGAGCAGTGTCAATTGAGAGAGATGGGAACAAAAGAATGGTTGCTAAGACAGTATATTAAAAGTTCTTTTTTTTTTTAAAGATTTTATTTATTTATATGACAGAGAGAGAGAGATCACAAGTAGGCAGAGAGGCAGGCAGAGAGAGAGGAGGAAGCAGACTCCCTGCTGAGCAGAGAGCCCGATGTGGGGCTCGATCCCAGGACCCTGAGATCATGACCTGAGCTGAAGGCAGAGGCTTAACCCATTGAGCCACACAGGTGCCCCAGTATATTAAAAGTTCTTATCACAAGAAAAAAATTTTTGTAACTTTTGTAACAGATGGTAAGTAGACTTAGTGTGGTAATCTTTTTGCTGTATATTCAATTATCAAATCACAATGTTGTATACCTGACATTGATATCATGTTATATGTCAATTATACCTCAATAAAAAATAGGTAATGATAGGAATTGCTGTGAGAACAGAGGAAGAAAAATGATAGAGAGAAATGAGACAATGGATGGTTACAGAGAGAGATGTGATCAGTTTGTTGGTTTGTAGGTTGGACAAATAATAGTGTGTGTTTATGTTAATAAGAATTAGTTAACAGAGAGACAAACTTTATAGACACATGAGAAAGCAAAAGATTGCTGAAACAATGTTCATGGATAGGCTATAGCAGATGGGGTCTAATCCATAAGAGAAGCATTGGCCTTTGCTAAAAACATGGATATATCAATATATATTGATATGTCAACAGGAACAGAAGAGAAGGTAAAATATTTTTTTGGAAAGGATAGGCTGGTGGATAGATGTCCTGGGAGCCTACAGAATTTCTTTTCCAATTAATTCTCTTTTTTCAATGGATCAAGAAACCATGTCATTAGCCAAGAATGTGTTTGGAGAGAAGATATAAAATGGTCAAGGAAAGTGTGAATGTGAGTGGATTAGAGAACTATCTGAGGATTGTTGGAAAGCATACCAATCTACTTAAGGTGAATTTTCATGAACTAAAAATGAGGACAGCATGGCTTTGTTTTTTCCTTTAGTCACAGTGGCCCAGGACAGACCATTTTAGATGGGAGTTTTATTTAACTAGGACTGAGGTTTAGGCAGAAAGTAAGAAAAAGATTGAGTGCAAACATTGAAGTTATATGCAGGGGAGTGATGATGATAATGAACCATGGAATTTAATCTGGTTAAGCAGAGAAATTCGGACACAGAGTTGAGTGGTCAAGGTCAATAAAAGCTGGTAGAATTGGGGCGCCTGGGTGGCTCAGTGGGTTAAGCCGCTGCCTTCGGCTCGGGTCATGATCTCAGGTCCCTGGGATCGAGTCCCGCGTCAGGCTCTCTGCTCAGCAGGGAGCCTGCTTCCCTTTCTCTCCCTCCCTCTCTCTGCCTACCTCTCCATCTACTTGTGATCTCTCTCTGTCAAATAAATAAATAAAATCTTTTAAAAAAAAAAAGCTGGTAGAATTAATGGACTGTAGATGCAATGAATTATAAGGCTTTTTGGAATTTTCTGACATGAGAAAGCAAGCTGGAATGTGAGAGGTAGCATTCAAAAATAAATTTGAAATTGAGATTATAGAGGGATCTCAGTTATTGTTAAAGATGTGTTTGAACATGTGAATCATGTTGGGGAGTGGGTGATTACCTATACTGGAGTGCATGATCCCTAAAGAAGATCCATCCCCACCACAAGGAAGGTAATCTTCTTTTCAAGAGTTCAAGTCATTAGGTCTGTCCTTGAAGGATAAGGGGTTATTTGTAAGAAAGTAGGTAGGTTTCTACCAAAAGGCTCTTGATCTACCAGTAAGATTGTGTAGCAGTCAGTCAAAGATCTTAACTGAGAATCTGGGTCCGGACGCTTCAGTACTGAATTTCTCCCCGCGCAGGGGCGGGGGTGCTGCAGCGCCAAGCCCGGGGTGTTGCCAGGCAACTGAGGTGGTGTGTTGCCCCAGGCAAGTGGTTGAACCCGGTTCTTGTCTTTGATCACTTCCTGTCACTGACTCACTTCCGGTCACTGGCTAGCTTGGAATCTGGGGTGAAGACCTGCCCAGAGACACCCTTGAGCCCTTGGGGGTTGGGTGGGGAAGTGAGAGGGTGAGGGGGTGGGGAGGTAGGGAAGGGCCAGGCCCAAGGGGCAGGTGGGGCCTTTGGGAGCTGCAGGGACACCCTGATCCAACAGAAGAACTTGCCTCCTGTGCCGCCATGAAGAAGTTTTTCACTTTCTGGAGAAGGAAGGATGAGCCGGTGAGCCCGTCTTCAGACCTGTCCGTAGGCCTGGCCAGGACCAGTACTCGTCACCTCACCCAGCCAGGCTACAACCTTCGAGATAAGGACTTAAAGAAACTTCACAAAGCTGCCTCAGTTGGGGATTTGGAGAAGGTGAAGAAGTACCTTCAGCTGAAGAAACATGATGTGAATATACGGGACAAAGAATACAGGTGACCAGACTGATGAGGGGCAGTGTGGAGAGGAAGCAGGCTCCCCTGGGTCGTGGAATCAGGAGCAGCACTTGTCTGGCCTACTTCATCGTTTGTCACTCCGGGTTTCCCATTGCCAGAGGGTCGCACTCCCAAATTCCAGCTTGTTATTTCTTTCTTTTTTTTCCCCCCAGTTTGTTATTTCTTAAAGTGCTTACCTGGATATTTGAAGTTATTTTTGTCATCCTTGATTGCCTCCACTCCTCCCATTGCATTAATCTCCACCTGATACTTCACCCTTTACCCAAACTGATGTTTTTTAATTTGATATATGTATGGTTGTAAGATTTTGAGACACGGAGACAACAAAACAATGACTTTCTAAATGTGGTTTTCCTATGGTTTATTTATTTATTTTTTCCAATTGCAGAGTATCTTCAAAAAGCCCATCACAGCCACTTACTGCAAAAATAAAATTAATTTTATATATTAAAAAAAGAAGCTACATGTTTGGCATTAATAATAGAAAATATGTACTGACTATGCCTATCTTAAAATTTGGGGGGCAGTTTTCAAGTCATAGGGTATGAAAAACATCATTTTTCCTCATAATTGGATAACTGGAAGCTGTTGTTATAAAGAAGGTTTATGTCAGTTTGCCAATAGTTTTATGTCCTTCCCTCTGACAAAAACAGAGTTATCTAAATTTATCCAATTTTTATCCTACACCACTCCATTGAATTACATTACAGGGTCATGGGTAACCTTGACATGACTTCATTTAGTGGTTAATTCTCAGTCTTACCTGGCTGGCATCTCAGCAAAGTATCTTACTTGCCCTGTCAGTAGTATTTGAAATAATGTTTTGTCTTTCAGGACGCTTGGTTTTCCTGGCACTTCTTCTTCTGTGGGCACTTCTTTCCAGATTCCTTTGCTGATTTCTTTTCCTCTTCCTGTCTGGTAAATATTTGAGGGCTCAGAACTTGAAATGATTCTGTGTCTTAATCTTCACTTGCCTGATGAAGAGAGATTATCTTTAAATGTTTGTATTCCAGTGCTTTCCAATATTTTATCTCTGGCTAGAACTCTCTCCTAAACTCTAGACTCATTATATAAATACCTACACTTCAACGTGGGTATCTGATAGACTGTGGTCTGCAGGTAAATGTTAATAACAGGCTCTTAGTTGAGTGTGGGAGCGAAGCAAAGGGAGGAGAAGCCCCAATTTCAAGCTACCAATGTGATGTTATTTGGCTTGAATCGTTTCTGAAATTTTAACAATTGGCTTGTGAGAGCCACTTGCTTTATAATCACATCCCTCTGTAGACATCTCAAACATCCCCAAACTCTGTTCCCATTTTTCCTCCTCAGACTTGCATCTCTCTTTCTAGAAATACCAAATTCTTTCAGTTGTTAGAAACCCTAGCGTCATTCTGGACTCCTCTCTTTCTTTCGTATTACCCATCTGACCTTGTTGGCTCCACCTTCAGAACATAGCTAAAATCCAACTATTTCTTGCCATCTTCACAGTTACTGTTCTAGTCAAAATTGCTATCATATCTTAACCAAAATTGCTGCATTGGCCTCCTAACTAGTTTTCTGTCTTTAAACCTTTTCAGTTTATTCTCAATACAGTAGCCAGAAAGATCCCGTAAAATGTATGTGAAAAGAGTCATTCCTTGCCTTAACAACTTCTACTGGCTTTCCATCGCTTTAAGGGTAAAGGCCAAGATCCTTTCAATGGCTCATTCAGACTTACATGACACGTGCCCCCACTCTGTTATCTCGCTGATCTTCTGTTCTACAACTTTCCCTTTCATTCATCTCCAGCTTCCCTGGCCTCCTTAGTGTTCCACAGAAATGCCAGAAATGTACTTAGGGCCTTTGGACTTGCTGTTTCCTTTGCCTGAAGTGCTTTTCCCCCAAATATCCACACGGCTTCCTCTCTCACTCCCTTCCTGGGTTTATTTAATTATCACCTTATTAGCGAGGGCTTCCTTGTCTCCCCTTCATACAATAGCAAGTTCTTTGTTTGCTGACATTTCCTATCTTCCCTGCCTAATTTTCCTCTTAACACTTAATACTGTCTGGCATGCTTTCTATTTTAAGTTTTTTGTTTACTTCTTCCACTAGCGTGTGTGATCCATATGAGCAGGTATTTTTGTCCATTTTGTTTGCGGCTCTATCCCCATCACCTAGAACCCTACCTGGCCAAATGCTTCCTAGGTATTTGTTGATGACTACAATGCACACATACATATGTACATATTTTTAACTCAGTGTAATAACTGTCCTTAACGTGAAACCAGTTAAATATTTGATCTTAAAGGCATTTGCATAGCCTTTTTAATTCAGTAGAAAGCAATTATAATTAATGTGACTTGTATATAAAGATCAATAAGTACATGAAGGAAGTATCAACAATATATGATCTGACACGTTCTTGAGTATCATAACTTCTCAAATTAAGACTTACCTCTAACTCTGTGTTTTGTTATATTGATATAGAACACCTTTACACCTGGCCTGTGCTAATGGATATTCAAATATTGTATCTCTCTTAATTGAGAAACAGTGCAAAATAAATGTCTGTGATAGGGAAAACCGGTCTCCATTGACTAAGGTGTGTTCATTTTTCCTTTTCAATCAGAATGCATTTGAGTTCTTCTAGTTCACTTTTGTTGGGTTTCATAGTTTAAATCATAGTAGTAAATGTCAATTTAATGTAACACATCCTGAGTAGTAAGTTGGTTACTCGTCTGTTCTTGTTCTATTGACAGGCAGTACAGTGTGCTAAGGAAGATTGTGCTACTATTCTTCTAGGCCATGGTGCAGACCCAAATCTGGTGGATTTAGATGGCAATACTGCTCTCCATTATGCTGTCTGTGGCCAAAGTATCTCATTAGTTGAAAAATTGCTTGAATACAAAGCTAATCTTGAAGATCAAAATAAGGTAGTCTATCAAAAATTACTTTATGTTATAGAAAGCAATGGAAGAAGGTATGTATTGGCAGATCATTCATATGTTGAAACACATGTTATATGAATTGTGAATTTTCCAAAATGAAACCGGGGGAAAGGAGAAGAAAAATGAGATTATCAAACACTGATAAGTTTTTCCTTTTTAAAAAATCTTGGTCCATTTTGTTTCAAACTATAACACTGACCTCTAAAACAATACTATATTTAACAACGATAACTCTTCAGAGGCATATATCAAATGAGAAATACCTGATTTCCCTATAAGTTTATACTGGTTAAAAATCATAACCCTATTTTTGCCTGTCTTATTTATATACTCATGGATAATGATAATAAGGTTAAATTAGAAAAATCACTTACTGTTCTAAAAGTAATCCATCTCTCCTATCAAGATGAGGGGTTTTTTGGGTTTTGTTTGTGGTTTTATTAAGCTTCTTAACACTCAAGTTCACTGATTTTGTCTCTATGACAGCCCAAAATAAGTGTCAGCCTTGGAGGCCTATAAAATCTCAATAATAACAACATAATGAAATGTGAATTGACAGTTTGTGATACTTACATTAAATGCTAGATGCTCTTCACTTAAATCCCCCAGGCTACTCTTCCCCACAATTTGGATTAGGCCTAAAGTAAAAACTTGAATTTTATATCTGAATGACGGATTTCCAGTTTATTTTCTTAGTCTCTGAAACTATATTTTTTGAAATCGAAGTGTATATTCAGAGGTTTCTTATTAATGCATTTTCTCTTAAATTGAACTTAAATCTAAAAGGCATATAATATTTGTATATTTTAAATAATCATTTTGAAATAATTTTTTCAGGATGGGTATACTCCACTGTTACTTGCCATTACTGAAAATAATGCAAAAATGGTAGAGTATCTTCTGAAGAGAGGGGCAGATGTGAATGCTTCAGATAAGAATCAAAGGTATAATGAATACTAAATAAGACCATACAACTATAGCTACCTAACAAGACAATATATATGTATGTATGTGTTTGTGTATGTGTGTGTGTATACATTTTGTGATACTGATAAAAGATCTGGCCATATAATTTGGACAAATTACCTAGAGTCCCAGGGGTCTGTTTTTCTGTAAAATCAAACTGTTGGCCAGATCGATAGGTTATTATTATTATTATTATCATTTGTAACTTAGAATCTTACATAGAAACTCAGTCTCTAAATCCTAGATGCTGTAGTTAATTGGGGGTAGATACCCAGAGCTCCAGACATGCCTCTCCTTAGTATTTTGAGACATCTCAAAAACACTAGGGTTCCAGGGAGAAGGGATTAAAAAACCATTGAGCTAGAGCACCTGGGTGGCTCAGCTGGTTAAGCGTCTGCCTTCAGCTCAGGTCTTGATCCCAGGGTCCTGGGATTCAGCCCCACATCAGGCTTCCTGCTCTCTCTTTCTCCCTCTGCCTGCCACTCCCCCTGCTTGTGCTTTCTCTCTCTCTCTCTCTATTACTCTCTGTCAAATGAATACATAAAATCTTAAAAACAACAACAAAAACCTTTGAGCTAGTTGCTTCCTAGAGACTTAATTTTAGACTCTGATACAATGTGATTGGTATATCCTTTTGAGCAGATCTGCCCCCTTTTTGCGTTCTTGCCCTCCTTCCCTGATAGTCTACTTTTGAACAGTAAATTTGGAAGACTAACTTTTCAAAAAAAGCACAAGACATGTCTAAGATCCATAAATACATGTTTATGTATCTCTCTTCTCCAGAACAGCCCTTATGATTGCTCTAAGCGATGAACCAACAAATTTAGTCAGTCTTCTTCTTCAGCAAGAAGTGGACCTGTCTTGCCAAGATATTTATGGATTCACAGCTGAGGAATATGCTTCTTTTAATGGTTTTACTGTGTAAGTGATACTGTATATCTTTTAACAACTGTATGGGATTTGATCATAAGGAAAGAACCATGAGCCCCCAAAGTGAAAAGCCGATAAGGTACAAAGTGCTGCATAGGGGTAACCATATCATGAATTCTGGCCACATGGATCCAGAGATCCTTGATTTCTTCTGTTTGTAGGGTCCAGTCAGTCTAAGAACTGCAGCCTGAGTCTGCGGATTAACTCCCAGTGGCATGGAAATTTGAAGTATGTCAGCACAGTGATTTCAGCAAATAGTGGCATAGCCAATAATAAAACCTCTGGGTAGTAACATTGGGCAAAAGATGATTCATCCATGAAAGACTTTTTGATTGTTTTTATACATGAGTAACATAAAAATTCAACTTTTGAATATTTTTATTCAAAATAATATTATTTTTTGTTAGCTAACTTTAGTTTGATAAGTTTTCAGAATTCTTAAGTATATTCTCATTAACCCAAAAGTCAAAACTTTTTGTGTATAAATATGCATTTCTAACTTTAGTCAATGAGAAAGTGAGATGAAATGAACAGAAATTTGTATATATCTAATGAAATTAAAGGTATTTTCCTTATAAGTTCATTTTAGGGTAAAATTTTAATTATACATAGGTATTTTTCCTAGTTTTTTTTCTTGTTCTTCCATCTCCTTTATTTACATTTTAATAATATCTTTTAATCATTAAGTCCATATGAACATCACAGGGGTGGGAGGAGTGAAAAAAAGAGCAAGAGAAGAGAAGTAATTTTTATATATACATTCAGATGTGTATTTTTAACGTCTAAATTGAACTTTATAAACTCAGGGATTCATAACCCACTAAATATATAAACCATAACTGAGTACAGTATTTTCTTTGCAATACTGGACATATGTACCTTGATTTACCTTAGTTTAAGCAAACAAAAAATGTTATAAAAATTTAAAGAGATAAATTATTAATACTATCTATGTTATGAAGGGATTCTTCATTTTATAAAAAGAATCTGTTTCTTTTAATTAGGGAATTTTCCTTATCATTTACAAAGTTTGGATATGGGGGCACCTGGGTGGTTCAGTTGGTTAACCAGCTGACTCTTGATTTCAGCTCAGGTCATGATCCTCGGGGTCCTGGGATCAAGTCCCTGTCAGGCTCCACACTCAGAGGAGAGTCTGCTTGAGATTCTCTCACTCTCCTTCTGTCCTTCCCCTTGCACATTAAGCCCAAGTGTTATGAATTGTGTCCCATTCTTCCCTCTTCAAAATCACGTGTTAACTCCCCAGCACTTCAGAATTTGGATGATGGTATTTGGAGAGAGGGCTTTGAAAGTGATGATAAGGTAAAATGACTGTGCAGTAGAGTGGATCCTAATCGAGTTTGACTGGTATTCTTGTAAGAAAAGGAGATTAGGACATAGAGACACCAACAGTGCTTGTTGCCAGAGGGGCAACTTTAAGGTGAAGAGTCAGCAAAGCACAGTCATCTGCTAGCCAAGGAGAGAGGCGGGGAACAGACCCTTTATAGCCCTCAGAGGAAACCAGCCCTTCTGGCACCTTGATCTTGGATTTCCAGCTTCCAGAACTGTGAGAAAATGTCTGTTGTTTGAGCCCCCCAGTCTGTGGTATTTTATGATGGCAACCCTAGCAACTTAATATACCAACAATAACCTAAAGCTATTTTTTTCTACCTTGCTAGTAGTTCATTTGTGATAGCAGGAAAAAAGTACCAGAGAATGGGAGAATGCGAAGTAAAAATGGTATCTGTTAATTGAATTGGCTTGAAAGGAGGCTTGAGGTCAACAGCAAGTGTATGACATACTTAGGAAGGCTCCAGTTAACATCTTAAGGTTTTGATCTAATGATTATTATGAATTGATTATTTACAAATCCTGAATTTATGGATAGATATCATCAATTAATTGCCAATTATGGAAGGGAGAAGAAAGTTGAACAGATGTCTAATTCTGAAGATACAGCCTTGGGCACTACATCTGATACAGAAGAACTGAATGAAGGTAAGAAGATACAAACTAAACAAATAGTTTTAATGGTTTGCTTTTAGGAAGAGACTCAGTTTTCTCAAATAGTATTTAAATTTGAAATAGAAATTTTCTCTAATTTTGAAATGCTAAATATTTTTAAGAATTGTCCTTTGTAATTAAAACATTTTGACATTGTGTTGACTGAAAATGTAGAGATACTGAATGATTAAGATAATTTTTATCCATAGTCTATTTATAAAAAACAAAATATGACTAGTTATAATAATTACTAGTTATAAAAAATAAAATTTTTAATAAATATAAAGCTATTAGTAAATTTTTAATTTTATTCTAAAAATACTTCAGATAACTACATTTGATAATTGTTAATATAATATATACTTAATCATTACATAAAACTTAAAATTAGGTAGTAATATCTGTGAATTAAAAATACTGTGCATCTATTGTAATAAATTCTGGTGCTTATTTTCAAAAAAAAACAAACATTTATTTAGGTCTGTAAAACAGCATTTTGTTTATTTGTTTTTTGGTGTGTATATGTTACATTGACTTTTTTTAGTTGGATGAGACAAAAATTTTTACAGTTATACTCTGTGAATACACCAGCAAACACACTCCTCCACTACCCTTCAACTATAGCGAAAAAAGAAAAAAAAATAAGACAGGGCGCCTGATGGCAATAGGAGATCATATGACTGTCACAACTATTCACTCTTCCTTCATCCCCTCAAATCTATCATTATCATACTTAGAATAGTGCTTGGTCCTATTGCTTCCAGGTGAGTGAATTTAAGAGAGAATTTACCTGAATTTTCCTTTGTAACTTAATCTTACACACTCAAGAAATTTTGTTTGGACTCTTGTTCTTCATCCTTATATGTTCCTCTCCTATCATCTCTCTCTCCATCTCTCTTTCTCTCTCTCTCTCTCTAATAATGTTCATGCAACATTAAGAAGCAAAGAACTTCTGTGATTTATACTTCAGTTCTTTAGGGAAATAAAGCAGTAGAAAGTTAAAAATACCACTCATGTATTTTGCGTATCTCCTGAGGCTAAACAATTAAAACACCTCCATTCCTTTTACCCATGGCAATATAGGTTGCTGTTTTTAATGAGATGTTAATCTTTGTGTGTTTTGAAACATACTAGAAATATCAGGTCAAGAAAATTGTCCAGACACATTGCAAAAGATGGTGAACATCAAAGGTTGTGTTTCTGTCGGATTCCAAGGGGATAATTTAATTATTCATTTTTTAAAATGACCATTAAGATACAGATATATTGATGCTAAATTATAATTGTTTTGTAGCTCAGGTATAGAATTTAAGAAATAGACTTAGGAGTGAAAATATTTGAACACAAATGAAGACATTACAAATATTACTTGTTTTCTAGACATATAACCTCATTTCTACAAGTCCTTTGCTGCTGCCTTGAATTAGAAAAGTCTGTTTTGAAAGAGCAATTAAATGAAATGTCACAGCATTTCACTGACTACTCATTTGAAGAAAAGTTTGTTAATGGAGAACAATTTTCACCTTAGAAGATGCGAAGAGATTTCAAAAGACAGACATCTATATCATGAGCTCTCAGTTGGAAGGATACAATTTGTGTTCAGCTTATAGTCAGCAAAAGTCTTTTTAGTCAGAATTTTGAATGGGGTATTCATAAGTGTAAATTTTGAAACATAGTGTGCTAGGCATACATTAGAGCATTTAAATAAAGTAAAAATATTAACATGTCAGCTATAAAATAGAGAAAAACATTATAAGTAACCCCGTGTAAATGGAAATTCTCTTTTATTTGCAAGCACTTTCACTGACAAAACCCTTTTTCTTTTGGAGAAGTACTATAGTAATACAGTTTAAGAAAATTTGGGTATTACAGAAAAGGAAAAAGGAAATAAGACTCATAGTCTCATAACCCAAACAAAACATCTGTTAAATTTCTGGCCCATTTTTGTAACCTTTTAAAATCTGCTTAACTTTTTTTTTTTTTCCCTCAAAGGGAATTTGCAATTTTGCATTTAAAAACAAAATAGAGAGTACATAGTTTTCACTATGCTCTTTGCTATACCTTGAACACATCCAGGACGATCTAGCTTCAGGATGATTCCCTGGAAGACTCTTCCTTTCATTGTATCCTGGGACACTTCCTCCCCTCACAAGGGACATCAGTGAAGACTTCTCTGGCTGCCCTTCCATTCTGCCGCTTACAATACTTTGTTATCTACTCCTCTCCCCCTTGCCTTTTGAATTGCAAGATGCATAAGAGCTTGAGCTTTTGTTCATAGGTAAATCCTCATCACTTGCAAAATATCTGGTGATAGTAAATATTCAGTCGCCAAATACAGTCATACCTCATTTCATTGCACTTTGGAGATTTCCTTTTTTTTTTCACAAGTCGAAGGTTTGTGGTAACTGCATCAGGCAAGTCTATTAGCACCATTTTTCCCGCTGCATTTGCTCACTTCATGTCTCTATGTCACATTTTGATAATTCTCACAATATTTTAAACTTTTTCATTATTATTATATGTTATGGTGATGTGATCAGTGATCTTTGATGTTACTATTATAATTGTCTTTTGATGCCATGAACCACACCCATATCAGACAGCAAACTTGATCCATCAGTGTGTGTGTTCTGATTACTCCCAACTTGCTGTTCCTTCTGTCTCCCCCTCTCCTCGGGCCTCCTTATTCTCTGAGACCAAACGTATTGACGTTAATACAATTAATAACTGTATAACAGACTCTGAAGTATTCAAGTGAAAGGAGGAGTCTCAAGTCTTTCACTTTAAATCAAAAGCTAGAAATGATTATGCTTTGTGAGGAAGGCATGTTAAAAGCTGAGATAGGCTGCAAGTTAGGCCTCTTGTGCCAAATAGTTAGCCAAGTAGTGAATGCAAATGACGAGTTCTTGAAGAAAATTAAAAGTGCTTCTCCAGTGAACATATGAATGATAAGAAGCAAAACAACCTTATTGCTGATGTGGAGACAGTTTTGGT